TGTAAATAATGCTGCTGTGAACATTGGTGTACAAATCTCCATTTGTGTCTCAGTTCAAATTTCTTTGGGGTATATATCTAGTAGTGGAATAGCTGGGTCATATGGAGTTTCTATAATCAACTTTTTAAGGAAATGCCAAACTGCCTTCCAGAGTGGTTGCACCATTTTACAATCCTACCAACAGGGTATGAGAGTCCCCACCTCTCCACATCCTCTCCAACACATATTACTTGCTGCCTTAATAAACTTTGCCAATGATACTGAGTTGACATGGTATCTCATGACAGTTTTGATTTGCACCTCCCTTATTGCTAATTGTTTTGCACATTTCTTCATGTGTCTGTTCTTCATGTCTTCCTCTGAGAAAAGTTTTTCTATGTTTTTTGCCCATTTTGTAATCATCAGCCTTTTTATTCTGGAAGCCAAGTAGCATTCTATAAACTTTTGTTATGAGTCCCTTGTCTGAGATGGTGTTGCCAAATGTTTGTTCCCAGTCAGTAGATTTTCTTTGCACCCTGTTGGAAAAAGATTTTGATGAGCACAGAGATTTAATCTTTAGAATGTCCCATTAATCAAATCTATCCTCTTCAGATTGTGCATTACTGGCTGTATTTATCAGTCTCTTTACACCATAGACCAGGCCTTCTAAGCTTGGTCCCAGTTTTTCTCTTATGAACTTTATGGTTTGGGGCTTTGCTCCCTGCTCTCTGATCCTCCTTGAGTTGATTTTTGTGTATGCTGTGAGATGTGGATCCTGTTTCAGCTTTCTGCAGGTTGTGGTTGTTATGTGCCTTCGAGTCACCTGCAACTCATAGACACACTATCTACAATAGCTCTGAAGCTTACCCTATCCTAAGCCAATTTCACTGACTCCGACACACCTACCCCTTTTTCCCCAGTACTGTATCAATCCATCTCAACTGAGGTCATCCTCTCCTGCACTATCCTTCCATCCTTCTCCATGATGTCTTTCTCCAAAGACAGGTCCCTCCTGGTCATGTACCCAAAGTATGTGAGACAAAGCTTCAAAATTCTAGCCTCCAAGAAGAAACTTGATTTCAGCCTCTCCAAGTCAGTCCTGTTTGTTTTCTTGGTAGCCCATGTTATATTCAGGACTCTTCTCTTGAACCACACAACTCAAAGGCATCAACTTTTCTGTCTTCCTTAGTAATTGTCCAGCTCTCTGATGCATAGCAAGTAATTGCAAAGACCATGGCCTGGATCAGGTGCACCTTAGTCTCTAGACTGACATCGTTGCTCTTCAGTACTCTAGAGAGGTCCCTTACAGCAGACTTTCCCAAGGCAATTCTTCTTTTGATATTCTGACTACTGGTGCCAAGAGTGTTGATTGTGAAGCAGAGCAAGCTGAAATTTTCAACAATCTCAATCTCTTTTCCATCTATCATGGTGCTGCCAATTGGCCATGTTGTTGTTGTGTATCATAGAGTCAGAACCAACCCATAGCAGATGTATGCATCTTCTTGCTATTAGGGCATCAGAGCTCCCTTGGCCTAGTGGTGAGAATCTTTGTTTTCTTGAAGTTCAATGCATATTGAACACTACAATCATTGACCTTCTGCATAAATCTCTTCAGATCCTCCTCAGTTTCATCAGGCAAGGTTGTGTCTGCATATCAAAGGTTGTTGATGAGTCATCCTCCAAACCCAATGCCACATTCCTCCTCATAGAACCCAGCCTCCCCAATGATCTGTCCTGCACATAGATTGAAAAGGTATGGAGGTAGCAGTCCAGTTTTGCCAGCACCATTTGTTGAAGAGGTTGTAATTTCCTCATTTGATAAATTTTATTTCCTTGTCAAATATCAGTTGACCATAACTAGAGACCATATCTAGGTTCTCAGTTCAGTTCCATTGACCCATGTGCCTGTCATTGTATCAGTACCATCCTATTTTGGTTAGTACTGCTGTGTAGTAGGATTTGAGGTCAGAGAGTGCTATCTATGCCTCCCCTTCATTTTTGGTTTTCAGAAGTGCTTTCCTTATTCGGGGTTTCTTTCCTCTCCAAATAAAGTTGACAATTTTCCTTTCAATCGGTTTGAAAAATGAATTTGGTGTCTGCATTTGGATTGCATTGAACATGTAGATTGCTTTTGGTAGGATTGTCATTTTCACATTAGTCTTCCTATCCATGAACAGGACGCATTTCCCCCATTTATTTAGGTCTTTAGTGTGGCCTACTGGCAAGAAGCTGCACTGCAGTTTAAATCCTGCTCTGGGGGAGAAGAATGGACCGTTTTCTCCTGCGTTTCTGAAAACCTGCTGCAGGGTCAGCTATGAGTTGGTTAGAATTGATGGTACATACACAACAACAGTAACATTGTGTCTTGAGGAAATGTTATGAATGTTTCTTTGTACAGGTCTTTTATGTTTCTAGTTAGGTTCAGTCCCAAGTGTCTCAGTTTGAGGTTGGCTTTTATAAATAGTATTACTTTCTTGGTTTCCTTCTCTTGATTTCTCTTTATTATTGTAAAGGAATCCTACTGATTTTTGGATATTGATCTTGTATCCTGCAACCATACTAAATTTGTCCACTAGCTCTAACATGTTGGGTATTTTTTGTTGTTGTTGAGTCCTTGGAATTTTCTGTGAACACTTTATGATTGGCATATAGCTGTAGTTTTACCATTTTTGCCAATCTGGAAACCTTTGATTTCCTTCTCTTGTTTTATTGCCCTAGCAAGCACTTTCAACACAATATTGAATAGAAATGGTGACAATGGACATCCTTGTCCAGTCCCTCGTGTTTTTGTGTTTTATTTTGTTTTGTTTTTCTGTTAGGTGTCATTGAGTTGAGTATGACTCATAGCGACCCTATGAAAAAAGATCTGAACCCAGTCCTCTCCTGCACCATCCTCACACTTCCTGACAAACAAGAGCCCATTGCAGCAGTCAGTGTGTCAGTCCACCTGGTTGAGGGTCTTCCTCTCCTTTGCTGACCCTCTACCCTTCCCAATATCATGCCTTTCTCCTAGGAATAACACCTACTAGCAACATGTCCAAGAACAAATTCTTCTAATTTTCCTTACCCCTCACCCATCAAATTGTACAACAACATAATTAACCTCCCCTTGCCCTGCACATCCTCATTCCTCTACTTCTCTACTTTACCCATCCCCCTTGAATCCATATACTCTTTTTACAAGAATATAAAAAGAATGGAAAAAATGATAAATTAAAAAAGTTAACATAGCGAGGGGAAAAGAGGAAAATGTGCAACAATGAATGAATGAAAACCCAAATTTTCTGTAAACTTTCATTAAAATTACAATTAAATTAAAAACCAAACAAACTCATGTCCAAAGTATGTGAGGCGAAGCGTCATCCTTCTTGCCTCCAAAGAATCCTTGGCTGTACCATCTCCAAGACATATGTGGTCTTTCTCTTGGCCATCCATGGGACGTTCAGTGCTCTTCTCCAACACTACAGGTCAAGGTTGTCAATTCTTTTTCTTTCATCCTTATTCATTGCCCAGGTCTCATTTTTCTCCATTGAGAATGATAGTAGCTCATGGTTTTGCATATATACTTTTCACTATGTAGAGGAATTCCTTTCTATTCCTATTTTGTTGAATGTCTTAATCAGGAAGAGGTGTTGGATTTTGTCAAATTCCTTTTCTGCATCTATTGCTAGGATCATATGGTTCTTGTTATTTTATTTGCTTTGTTACTGTGGTGAATTAAGGTGATTGTTTTTCTTCTGTTGAACCATCCTTTCATTTGAATTATGAATTCTACTTGGTCATGATGAATTTTTTATGTGCTTTTGGATTAAATTGGCGAGGATTTTGTTAAGGGTTTTTGCACCTATGTTCATGAGTGATATTGGTGTGTAGTTTTCTTTTTTGGTAATATGTTTGCCTGGTTTTGGAATTAGGGTTATACTTGATTCATAGAATGATTACATTCATTTTTTTTATCAATTAAAATTTCTTATTTAAACTTGATTGAAATGATTTCTAGATGAATACATTATATGTGTAGATTATATTTTGGAAGGATTAATGATTTTATTCAAAAGCCAGTAAAATTTTTATTGGAAGGGAATGATTGTGAAAAGGTTAATTAGACTTTGTAGGACATTCAGTTCTGCTACAAGTATTTAACTCTACTTTTTGTACATGAGTACTGATAATAGTGATGGAATGAACTTGACTTTGTTCTAGTACAACCTCATTTGGAGAAATAGGCAGAAAATAGGATTTGGCAGTCTGTCTTTACTATTTTGGCCCTTGATTCTCTTGACTTTAGAGCCTTAAGTACTTTCTCTAGATTAAGAGATGAATGTTCTCAAAGATAGATGCATAGGTGTGCACCTGTATAATTGTAAATAATTTCAACTTTATTGTTGTAGAATAAGGCATGTGCTAGCGAACAGTAGGAATTGGAAGAAACAGGAAGAAGTTCTGCCAGAACTGTCTTCAGATGCCTTCCAGAAAACTTGTGTTTCACTTTTTAGATGTGAGGAAGACATCAGCAGATTTTATGCAAGAGGAATAGAGGCTCTGATGTGTATTTTATCTTTCACAGCTTCTGTTTTGGTTGATTCAGTGTTAAATTTGTTTAAATTTCATCTATTTAAAATTTGGCTAAAATAAGTAGCAATCATGACAAAAGTTATACAGAAAAAAATATTTGAATTAGTAGACCACCCTTGTTTATTTTCATCAATTTTGGTCTGTGGTATCTGAGATTTGGATTCTGAGAGAGAAACCATGTGCTCTTAATAATAATGGAAGGAAGGCTTTTGCATGTGACAAATTTGACTACATGGTCTATTTGCTTACATTTTAGAAAGAATTTATTTTTTCTCTCTTTTAACTTTTCCCTTTTTAGATAAAAATATTTATTTATAGAATCACATTTGTCTTATTAAACATCTTGTTATGTAAGTTGTTATAATCAGACAAAATAACTGTTTTTAATATTCTTAGTGTATAGTGCTAATATAAAGAAAACACATTTATTTTCTTTTAAATTATAGATTTCATTTTCTGAAGGCCAAGCACTGTCTACAATCACACTGACTGTTGTTGCTGACGATGTACCAGAGTTATCAAGGGCTGTGATTGTAACACTCATCAGTATTACCACGGAAGGAGTGGAGGATTCATCAAGAGGTGCTACCATTGATCAGAAAAGGAATAAATCCATGATCACCACTCTACCCAATGACTCACCCTATGGCTTGGTGGGATGGCATTCTGAGTCTTTCTTTTTAAGAGTATCAGAACCAAAAGGTAGTTTTTATTAAATGTCTTTCAAGTTCTAGAAGAGTTTTTATTGAGTAATTCAATTTTAATATTTATGAAAAATTAAATTTCTCTTTTCATATAAGTCTAACAGGTTTTACTCAAGCTTTTTTTTTTAAGTTTCCTTGTCTTTATTTAATCTTGCAACCATGTAATAACTTAGCAATAATGTCATAGGAAATACTTTTGCTATCTTAAGATGATATAGCTGGGTATTTTAAGGGAAATAATATATTACAAGTTGTACCAGTTTGTTACTCTATTTCTATTTTCATTTGTTAAAATCTGTTCTCTGTCCTCACATAGTTTTTCTAACACAGTTTTTTAATAATTCTAAGTAATCATTGTCAACACAGTGAAATGCACATGATATTTAAAGTATTAATTTTTTAACTCAGAGAAGTAAGACAGACTAAATTTTTCCCTTTGACGTGTCTGGTGATCATTTCCTATATCCTTTAAATTGAGCTCTGAAATAATTTCATGTACATCCTGTAAATCCTGTACAGGTCACTGTGATTCAGAATTGACTCATTAGCACTGAGTGCTAGTAAGTGCTGTGAATTATGCTGTGAAATATGTGAATATGCTCTGGAAATGACATAGTCTTTACTACTCATCAGTAACTCACAAATCAATGGTGGAGATTAAAGGACGCATTTTGTTTTCCATATTGTGTGTCAAACAAAATTTTAAAAAGTCTATGAAATAAAATAAAAACTGAAAGCTATGAAATGCCCTAAAAGTTATAATAGACATCTTAGTAGAAGAACATGATCACTCTTATTCTAGTAATGAATCATTAAATCACTTTTGTTTCAAAGATTCTTGTGGGCTTTTAAATAAGCATCTAGGTTGAAAATTCACATAGGCACTTTGTTAAGATTTATTGCTATTTCAATTAATGTGTATGCCATCGGAAAAACAGGCAAGTATATTAGAGAAACAGAAAGTCAAGTTTGGAATTTATAAAGATAAGAGTTGTTGTTGTTGTTATGTGCCGTCAAGTCATTTGCGACTCGTAGCGACCCTATGTACAACAGCCCTAAACCCTGCTCTATTCTGTGCCAATCGCATTGCCTCTGACACACCCATCCCAATTACCCCAGTCACTGAATCAGTCCACCTCAAAGAGGGTCTTCCCCTCCTGCGCTGTCCCTCCACCCTACCAAGCATGATGTCCCTCTCTAAAGACCTGTCTCTCCTTACAAGATGTCCGAAGTATGTCAGACGAAGCCCCAGAATCCTTGCCTCCAAGGAGTAGCCTGGTTTAACCCTCTCCAGGATGAATGTGTTTGTTTTCTTGGCAGTCCATGGTACATTCAATACTCTTCTCCAGCACCACAGCTCAAAGGCATCAATTCTCCTTCTATCCTCCAACTATCATTGTTCTATCCTCCTTCCATCATTGTCCAACTCTCTGATGTATAACAAGTGATTGCAAAGACCATGGCCTGTATCAGGCCCGCCTTCGTCTCCAGAGAGACACCGTTGCTCTTGAGTACTTTAGAGAGGTCCCTAACAGCAGACTTTCCCATCGCAATATATTTTTTGATGATTTTTCAGCATTTGCTTGGGGACAAGGGAGACTGGACAAAATCTATTGTATGAATTATGTCTTTTCTATCTTTATTTCCTTAACTGTCAGAGGAATAGTGTAGAATGTTCTAACCCAAGCCTTTTGTGGGTCATTGATAATAAATTTGATAATGACATTGATAATGACAATAATTGATAATGAATTTGATAATGTCATTGATAATGACAACAATAACAACTACAAAGAGAGTATTTACTTCAAGCATACTTATCTTACAGAGAACGTCACCCTTCTTCAATTACAAATTGTTCGTTATAAAGGACTGTTTGGGGACATTGCTATTCACTTGATAACTAAACCCAATTTCTTACTGCACATCAATAATCAAGCTACTGAAAATGAAGACTATGTGTTAGAAGAATCAATAATAATAATGAAAGAAAACATAACAAAAACTCATGTTAAAATTATCATATTGCCGGTAAGTCAGGACTGCAGTATATGTTA